ATTGAGTGCTGGTACAGATCATCCGTGGGAGTGCGGTTGCGGCAGCGACCAGTGCCGCGGCCAGATCCTGCCCACCGACTGGAAGCTCCCCGAGCTGAGGGAGCGCTACGGCGCCGCCCACTTCGTCACCTACATTCAGCGCCTCTTCCACCAGGAGGACGAGGAGAGGAAGTACGCCCTGGCCGCGCTCGCCTCGGCCGCCTTCGCGCATCCGCCGCCCTTGGTCCACTGCGGCCTCATCCGTACCCCGTCGATGCTGCAGTACCCTAGCCGCGCGTAACTGCTACGCTGTTCCTTCTAAGTGGCTTCGATTCCTCCCCGCTCACCGGTTCTCTCCCCGTGGGGGAGACCCGAGGCGTTGGGACGGAACGGCCGCGGAACAGCGTAGCAGTTACGCCTCAGTCATCGCAGTTTAGGTACTAGCAGCACACATCAACCCACTACCACTCTTCTTCTTCATCATCATCTCCTTTCCTCCATCGACGACCGACACCATCGCCGTCGTCACCATCCGCACAAGCAACAGCATCAACTACTTCAACAGCTTCCTCTTCCCGACGAGGTGAAAGAAATCGTCTCCAACCTCCTCGACGACGGAGACAGCGACCTCTCGATCGGCCGCTCTCTCAGCTGTCTGCATCATCATCATCATCATCATCGCCTCCATCCGCACTTCCCCTACGTCCCGCTTTTCTCCTTCCTCGTAGCACGCGCGGGGCACCACCTGTGCCTGCTCTTCGGCTTCAAGAAAATAAATCGCTACAAGGAGCGTTGGCTCCGGAGACAAACAAGAAACGCGGCCCGAGTACGGTCCGCCGGTGGGTCACTGATGGAAAAGGCGGCTTTACGGTGAAGCTACTCATCACCGTCGTCGGCGTCTTCCTCCTCCCCATCGTCCTCGGCCTCCGCGTCTTCTGCATCCGCATCTGCAGCCTCGGCGCCCTTCTTGCGGCCTCGCTTGCCTTCCCCTCGTGGCTTGCGCGTTCTCTTCGGTTTGTCGGGCTCGATGTCTGCACGCACACGCACGCACATGCCCTACCATCAGCCCAGCGAAGCGACACGCATGTGTAGTAAGGAGGGGTGAGAGCACGAACCGGGTATGTCCTTCACGATGTCCGTGAGGAAATCAAAGGCGGGGGTCGCCATAACGCACTGCTTGCTGTTGTGACCGTGTACACGCGCGACTAAAGGTGAATCGCAGCGCTCGCAGCTGGAAGCACGTGGTTGGGGGGAAAGGCGTACATGTGCGTGGGGCTGATACTCTTGCCGTTCTTCTCTTGCGTGACGGCCGCCGACTTGATCAGCAGGTCGTGCAAAAACAACTCCAG